CATGCACACACACACACACACACACACACACACACACACACACACATACACACATATGAGCATACTAACACACACACAAACACACATACACATACACATGCACGCACGCATGCACACCCACACACACACAAACACGCGCACACACACATATTACCAGCAATCGTGTTTCTTAGACTTTATTCATCAACTTTCTATCTAGAAACATTTCCTATGTACAATAGCCGGCCCGGACTCGTCGTACTCCTGTTTGGAGATCCACATCTGCTGGAAGGTGGAGAGAGAAGCCAAGATGGAGCCTCCGATCCAGACCGAGTACTTCCTCTCAGGGGGAGCAATCACCTTGATCTTCACTGAACTGGGGGCTAGAGCAGTTATCTCCTTCTGCATCCTGTCGGCGATGCCCGGGTACATGGTCGAGCCGCCAGACATGACGGAATTGGCGTACAGATCTCTCCGGATGTCCACGTCACACTTCATGATGGAGTTGTGCATCGTCTCGTGGATGCCCGCTATCTCAAGACCTAGGAAACTCGGCTGGAACAGAGCCTCTGGACACCGGAAGCGCTCGTTGCCAATGGTGATGATCTGACCGTCTGGGAGCTCGTAGCTCTTCTCCAGAGCAGACGATGTTGCAGCGGAATTCATTTCCGTGTCGAAGTCCGGAGCGACGTAGCAGAGTTTCTCCTTGATGTCACGGACGATCTCTCGCTCCGCCGTGGTGGTGAAGCTGTAACCTCTCTCGGTGAGGATGGTTACAAGATAGTCTGTGAGGTCACGGCCGGCCAAGTCCAGCCTCATGATGGCGTGTGGGAGAGCGTATCCCTCGTAGATAGGCACAGTGTGGGACACACCGTCACCAGAGTCCAGCACGATACCTGACACATACAACACAACAACGTTTGGTGAGCCTGTACTTCTTAACAGCAGCAACAGCAGGAACAACGATAACAACAATACAAAACATTACTAGAAAATGTCATGACATTGTGGAATCAGGAACTTCATCAGATTTTGAGTTGGAGACATCTTGGGGTTATTGGTTTAATCTTAAAGCGTGTCCCTTTTTCTTACTTTTAACGAAAAGAAAAATTATTCATTAATCATGAATAGAAATTGAGATGTCTGCAATTGAAGGAGATGGGGGGTCTCCTTGTGTCAGATATAATATTAGCGAGGAAATGGCCGCTAAAGTTTCGTGTTTTCCAAGCTTGCATTTTTATATTGGTCTCTTTTAAGGGCAAGCGGGCTAATCCATATTTCGGGGGTTTCCAGAAATCTTGACCAACACCAAAAGTGGATATTGCCCTACCTATAAGAGAAGTTTGGTTCCATTGGTGTGTATATTTGCCTGGTTATAGAGAAAACGCTTCCTTGTCTTTTAAAGAAACTGAACCAGAGGCAAAAACTTTACCTTCGATTTTCTAAAAACAGCATTTTTCGGGACAACCCTCTAGTGCTTAAAATCGACCATATGTGAGGCTTTGGTCCATATTTCTCAGTTGAATCCACATAGAAGTTTGTTTTTAAATGAACATAAAAAGCGTTCAATACAACACAACAGCAACAAAACATCAGAACAAAACAGTAATACAAAGGAGACCGCTTAAAGTGAACTCTTGCGATCAGAATAAAGTCTTCACTTTATCCGATGTTCAATTGAACCATTTTGGTAGGGTGGAGGCCAAGAAACAGTAGCTTCGCGCAGTGGTGGGTCTAGGGTGCAGGTGGGGTGGGGGGACAACAGAGCAGGCGAGCCTAGACTAGAGCTCTTTCTTTTTGATTGAGACTGCCGTCGCCAAAGCAGTGCTGGGATTGTCTGACGAGGCCCAAGGCAAATAATTTTATTTTCACAGCTTGGCGACAGTGACACGGTCTGTACGTTCTTTGCTTTCACTAATTTTGGGCATTCACTGTGTCTGATTTCCCCATGAAACCGGTTAATTTTATTAACTTTTTTAAAACTTAAAAACAAATAGCGTTTCAATCAGGACCACAAACTATTGTTCACTTTAACCGATTGTTCGAATAAATCGTGTTCCCTTTAGGCGGAATCCACTGTAATAATGTTACGACGGCCAGATGTTCAGATGTGAAAATGGTGAAGTTGTTGGTTTATCAGCCTCTATCAGCACTATTAGATTATTTAATAGGCATGACATCCGAGCCATCTTCGAAAGCAGCGAGCTAAGGGGGAAATTCATGTAAAGTGCCTTTCGTAGGGACACACCGTCGAACCGAGCTGAGGCTCGAACTCCCGAACCCCCGAACCCACAATTTCATGATTACGAGTCTGGTAGCCTAACCACAAGGCAAGCGACACCACCTCAGATGTACCAAGCTCAAAATTTGGAAATCTCCAACCCAATACCTGACAAACACAAAACCGCTGTCACAATAACTAACATAATACAGTGTTGGTTTCTTTGTTATTTTGTGTGTCCATCTGAAGACTATTCCTGTGTGTATGTGTGTGTGTGTGTGTGTGTGTGTGTGTGTGTGTGTGTGTGTGTATGTGTGTGTGTGTGTGTGTGTAGTGTGTCCCTGCGTGTTTATGAGTGATGAGTTTGTGTGTACTTGAGTGCGCGCGCGCTGGTGAGTATGTGTGTGCGTTTGCTTATTTATTTAACGTAAACTTCTAAAATTTGGCATACTTATCCAACCTCAGGGTTTATACATGAATCCAGGGTCAGAAATGTATTGTTGCCCTTCCAGGAAGGATTTCCCATTCCACAGTCAGTTGTTCAGTGTTGGTACCTCCGGTGAAAGTGTTGGGTAAACTCTGCAGTCTCTCGATGTGTTCTTCTTTATACCATTTTTCACAATCATACCCTGTGACATGCATTTTTTTTCGAAAGGAACTTGTTTTAATTAAGAGAGGGCTAAAAAATCGTGTATATATTTAAATCCGATTTTCAGTTTTAGCATTACGTGTGTATGCACACTAAACTCAAATGGACAAACACAGATTTTAATCTTTATATATTATTTTTCAAGAAGATAGACTGAAAACTGTCCTTGAAATGGTTGCTAGGATGATTAATTATAAAATGTTGTTGCTCACTGTTGCATTTGTTTTAGCTTTCCTGTACAGCCGAGAAATATTTCCCACAGGGAGAATAACGTATTATGTTATGCTATGTTATGTT